TAATTTATTTGGAAATGACCCTAAAGATCATCAAGTCCAGCTGTTAACCCAGGGTTGCCAAGCCCCCACTCAACCATGTCCCTCGGTATCACATCTACATTTTAAAGATATTTAAATATCTTTCAAATAACTGTGTCAGCCACATCTCTGGGCAATTCATTTCAGTACCTGGCAACCCTTTTGGTGAAGAAATTATTCCTCCTATCCAATCTAAAGCTCACCTGGTACAACTTGAGGCAATTTCCTCTCATCCTGTCACTTGTTACCTGGGAGAAAAGATTGACCCCCACTTGACTACAACTCCTTTTCAGGTACTTGTAGAGACCAATAAGTTTCTCTGTGTGTCTCATTTTCCCAGGCTAAACAACCCCAACTCCCTCAGCTGCTCCTTATATGATCTGTGCTCCAGAACCTTCACCAGCTCTGTTGCCCTCCATCTTCCAAAATAAAATACTATATTCTGGAATGAATGATTTTGAGATCAATTTTTGCAGACTGTAGCAATATGTCTAGTTYTCATAAACAGAAATATGACTCAAGATTTTTGCAAGTGTAGATTTTTGATACAACTGCAAGACATTCTGTTGAACTTTGAGATTTCTCATTACAATACTTAGGCAATTTTGAAGCATTTTCAGTTTGCAGAACTTTGGCATGGTTGAGCTTCATATTTCTGCTCCAGATTTTTCCCCTGAAAAGTAGAGGCCTAGTGAAGGAATGTGTGGGCTTTACACATGCAGAGTTTTTCTTTGTTTCATTTTAGGAACATCTTTAGGACAAAGTTATTCCACAGGTGGTAAATGTGCCTTTGAAATTCTGCCACAGGAACAGTCTTTCAGAATTGTATTAGACTGATGAATCAGGCTTCACATCTTTTCTTTAGAAACTAACAGGATGTCACTTGTCACAATACTACTGTCTGCTGGCTTATTTGTCTTATTGTTCCAGAAGGAATAAAATCTGTATCAGTATAGCAGCACTGCTTGCTCAAAGACTGTAGCTCAAATCCCAATAAAATAGGCCTCTGGAAAGAAAGAGGGAATGAAAAAGAACAAAAGAATGATAACAAAAAAAAGTTATTGCTGAAACTTGAAGGACTTTGACTTCACTAAAGCTTCATTAGCTAAATGTAATGTGACAACAATAACACACCTGCAGCCATTGTGGTRGCGAGAAGACATTTCTCTGTGCTTGTCAGGAACTGTGAGTACCAGATCTATTTACAGGACATATCGAAAAGTCTCTTGGGTATCAACCAGTCTTACTCACTTTTGAAATGGGTCACTTTTTAGCAAGTACCTTAGAAGAGAAAAGCTTTTTACGTAACATCAGTTCCATGAGTCATTCCATTTCCCCCCATATTGGTTAATATAATTTAATTTCCCTCTCTTCACCTGTCATAAGAGGATCTGGGAAAAAAGGTTGCTTTTCTCTCTATTTGCAAATTAATTGATAGAATTCGTTTGAGGTTTCCTTCTTTCATGGTGCTTTCTTAAAATTAGAACCAAATTRAATGTGTTCCTAGCCATTGCAGAATACATTGATTAGAGCTGAATTATGCGCAGTTGTGATCTACATCGAAATTTGCATGACACATCTCTCCTGGAGTGAAACTAAAAAAGGAATTTGAATCTTCTCCTATTCATTTCCAACAAACACAGTCCATTCACCGTTAAATCCCATAAGCTGTGGTCAATATTAAGAACAGATRAATGCGTAGATTTAATGAATGATGCAGCTATTAGAATAAAAGTCTCAAGTACTTACCTAATCTKTGCTAACTAAATAGTCTGTGCCTATTAAAGGATAATTGTTGGCAAGGACATATTTATTTTTCCTTTTCTTAATTGTATTGCAGCAGTCTCTACAGTCYCCATGTTTCCACCAAGACAACACCCTTGATAAATACTGTAAGATCTTGACTGTGAAAATAAGTGTGTTTAGTATGACTGCTGTGAGCATTTGCAATGATTTATTATGACTGCTTATATGTGGAAAGCTGCCAGGAGTATATGTGTTTTCAGGGGCTAATGTGGCACTGCCTACTTTTGCAAGCTCACCACAGCAAGTCTGAGCCTTCTGATCTCTCACAGGTGACTGTTTCCAGCCTCATAAACTGCAAGGAAGACTGAAAGGTGTCTGGTATGAAACACTATGGGGTTGCTGCCTGTGAGTGGCAAAGGGTCAGCAGAGGACTCACCTCCCACAGGAAGTCATGTACATGTYTAACTTGTAACATTAACAAAGCTCCACTGAAAACAAAAGGAGAAATCCAACAGCATTRCCCCTGCTGGGTTCTTTGAGCACAGAATATTGTTGCAAGGGACCATACAACTCACTGCACAAATGACAAATCAGAATAATTTTCTCCTCTCCATCTGTCACCCTTTTTCTTTCTTGTCTTATTTCAATGTATTCTTTCTCCATCCATTTTTAGAAACAATTCATTCTTCATTTAAAAAGGCTGTATGAGAGAAATTATGTATGTACATGTGTGTAGAAGAGAGAGAGAAAGAAAGAGACAGAAGTTGTCCTCTGTCTAGATTCAAGAGGAAACAACTTCTCAGGCAGATATCACAGTAAGGGAACAACACATCTCTGTGATGATATGAAATAGCATCTACCCCACCTGACATCACTTCACAGACAGCCTCTAATCCCAGATGGCTAACATAAAAGCTCTATAACCTGGTGATACTATTAAATGAAAGGTAGGTCATATATGGGTTCTGACTAGCAGGAACTGTAAGAATTGCTGCTGTGAGAGAGTGAGTAATTGCAGAACCTTTGCTCTGTAAGGATACAGACAGGTTCTCCCATGATGGTTCATTTTTTCGCAACCTTTCCCAAAAGTGTTGGCTCTCTGATGATAGAAATGCAACAATTGAACTTGAGAAAACTTGTATTGTCATGCCTTTATAGATTTTTTTCCCCTCAAATGCTTAGACAAATATATATATATATATATTGGATTTTTGTTCGTCAAGCATAAGCCCTGTCAAATGTATCTGTGCTTTTTTAACCTCAGAAATGACAGCTTTCTGATCAAASAAAACATTTATTTTCTTTCCGTCCTGGGGAATAACACAGTACTGCTTCCAAATAGCACATCTCATGTCTTGATGCTTTGCTCTTTCCTTAACACATATAATTTACCACAGCAAGCTTTTCAATTAGGGCCTGATCCAAAACTTTAACTACTGTTGGGGGAAAAAAGCYCAACAAAACCTACATTGCCTTCAGGCTCTTTCAAGCAGTTTTATGTACATTTATTCACACAGTAGTCACACTTGCGTGACAAGGCTTCATTGTAGGGACAATATATACAATGCAGCGTTTCCTTAGGATATTAACAGCAATTTTGGATACTAGGAAAGCTACCTTTTCTTTTCCTTTTTTCTTCATGTCAGTTCTGGCGATCAACTGTAAAATGTGACAGTGATTAGACGTGGCAGCTTTTTTCTGTACCAGTGTTTTGATGCACCAAAACTTACCCTGTTTTCTATCTCTCTCTCTTTTTTTTTTTTTTTTTTTTTTTTTTTTTTTTTTTTTTTTTTTTT